TTCGGGGATTAAAGTTCGAGTACGAAATTGTCAAAATATAAATTTCCATAATCTAAGCAATTGGAAGATCGGTTAGTTTTGGGACAGCCTGTATAAATAAAAAGTAACACGCGGCGCCAGTTTATTGGACGAGGTCCATTCCGCGATATCCTTGGCAGGAGATAATTCGATAAACGATGGATGAATCAGTCGCTTAATTTTAACCGGCTCACCCCGCGAGAGTTTCGGGACTCTTCCGATGCAAATGTTGTGTGTGACGTAAAATATAAATCCCAAATCATTCCGAGGAACGGTTGCAGCTGGGGAAAATATTGCATAATGAGATTCCCGAATAACAGGGCTTCGCCAAAGCCGGCGATCCGGATTGATGGAATCATCCGTGGACATCGTGGATGCCGTAAAGGTCGCGCGAACATTCGCCAATTTGGGAGGAAGCTCGATTTCCGCAGCGGAACTATGCGATGAATCACCGATATGTTTCTTCTTAGACGACACGTTACTCCCACTTATTCGTACAAATCATCGGTATCGCACCGAGCCGCCAGCTGTGCGCGGAATTTCCAATATTGGCGGCTTGTCAAACTCTTCATTCCTTTTCGACGATACGACTCGGCTCGTTTTAACGACGCGTCATAATTTCGAACCCGTATTACTCGCGTGTCAAACATCCACGTGCGAGCACGTGCGTCGGCTCGTTAGGATTTACGAACAAATAGTTACACCTGATCTTGAGAAAAGAAACTCGGATGTCAGTTGTAATTTCAGGTACGCTGACACTTGACGGACACACGATCAGTGTTAATGAAAAATATGCGGGAAGAGCTTCCACGCAAAAACGGCAGCTGTTCAACAGCGAGTGATGAGTCACGATTCTGACAATCAATTTATAATCAACACGATAGACGTATCTTTCGTTAGCCCCAAATATCGTATTCGGCGGGCAGTGTTGAATTTTGTCAATAAACTTCCACAATGCCTTTTTCTCATTGTTAATCCGACGTTGTTAACAGTAATGCTCGTAATACCATATTAATTGCAATTTTTTTCTCTCCTTCTCCTAATGAGTTTCATCAATCTCAATTAACCTGTTGGACAATTATCCGAGCTACATGGTTGTTTTCAGCGTGCTCTCGAAAAACAATACGGCGCAATCTCAATAATATCTGACGCTCTCACGATACGCGGAAGTTGCACACATATGCAATTGCAATGCGGCGTCACTTGCGTGCAATTACGGTTGCGTTAAAAATCAAACGACAATTGAATCGTCGTCCCACCCGGCCGCGACGAAGATTGGTCAAAGATTGATATCAGGGATATAAATAGGATTAGGATCAGCCGAGGCAGCGCACAAAGGGGATTTAGCGAGTACCCGGAGTGTCCGCCGGCGGTTCGATCCGGTAAAGTATTTGGACACGCATCCGAACGACGACAGCGGGATGATGAATGTATAGTTGACTCGATAACTGAACGGTACACAGCCGCCGAATGCGTTTCGAAATGTTGCCGAAACGTAATTACACGTCACACGAACACGGAAACGACCGACTGAACTCAGCTTACCTCGCTCTAAATTGCCCGTCTCTCCAAATCCCGAGGCTATCCGAGTCGAAATTTTCATCCTATCTCGAATCTTTCATTTTACGACACGGCAGGAGCCAACATAGCAACTGACCCAATTCTGGTTATTTAACCTTTTTTTGCTGTTATTTAACCGTTATTTAACTTATTTTTGCTCGACCATAATGCTGCCACAAATCTCCGTTTTCGCTGTTTTCAGCGTCGAATAGGTTGTTTTGATACTCATAGGAATTCTGTAATCAAAATGTCGAGGACACTTTTAGCATCAACGTAGCGTTACGATAAAATTTGTATACATGAAAAACAATTAACGCCAGTTCAATTTTCATATACAAGCAAGAATATATAATCTTATATGAAGATAAAATTTGGTTACGTGAAAAAATTCAGCGCACTTCCATTAAAAATATCATATTCTTGTTACTCAAAAATAATGGATTTTTCAAAGCGACACAATTCTCAGTTTGAAGATATCGTTTTTTCTATTCCGATCTATTTTGTAGATATTTTCCTCTCAACTTAGGATTATTCTTGAGTGACGGGAATATAATATTTTCATACGCACGCCGAGTCACCCGATTAGAAAATTGTCAAAGGCCATCGCGCGGTTCGCGGAAGCACAATCATTTTTGCGGCCGTGAGATCGCGATCTTAATCCCATCTGTCGCCGCGACGGATCGTGCGAAGCGCAATTCGCGCTTTTGCAGAAGCAGCGAATAAACGGCGGATAACGTCCCCTTATTATTGGATCCAGATTTCTGCCGACTCGCTCGCGTTGCGACTCCTCTAATCTCCCACGGAGAAGAGAACCGCCGGCGAGCTTGTGTCTCCCTTCCTCCTGATCTGTCACGGCAAAACTTGCCTCGAATTATTATCGACATGCTCAATAATCACGTGTCCTGATCCCTTATTTAAGAATCGCACAGATTGCGGCGTCTCCTCCCGTCGACGAAAATATCATCTCGCTTTGCACCGCGTGAAAAATCGTCAATTTTTCGCGAATTATATATTGCAGCTTGTATTTAACGGTAAAGCTCCATTTGAAAAAGAAAGATGTATCAAAAATCTAAACTGCCAATAACAATACCGGGCTACGTTGTACAATATTTCAATATAACAGACACAGGAAGGAGAGTGAGACTGTTAACAATAAAACCACTGACATTACTGATCGTTTAAGATTACTAACTGAAAGAGGGGGGGGAGGGGGAGGGGGAGAAATCACAAGACTGGATAACGTGACGAGCGGAATCGCATATTTGAGTGCCACAACAAAGCTTTACTTTACATAAGCTTGCAACCACGAGGCGAACCAGAAGCTCGTCGCGCGTTACCAGCGCGCGAACGCCGAACGGCGCAACGACGCCTCAATGTCAGACGACATACGACGTTGTTTCGCATTACGTATTTATGTCATGCCCGACGTCTTCTTCCGACAGGCGTCTCTCATCACGCGCATCCGAGCGATTCGGATTGTGTTTTCGCGAAAAAGGGGCTTGCGGGGTAAGGAACCTTCGGTTTGAAACGGACGAGGAGCAACGCTCGCTGACTAACGACAGACTTTCGGCAGTTTAACCCATTAGCTGCCACGATCCCCATTTGGGGATGAAAACGAAACATAATTTGAATATAATTCTACTGTTACACAACTTTTTGCGCATATATATAACTTATCCGGCGAAAAATTTGAAAAAAAAAAAATTTGCCAGTTCATTATCTCAGCAGCGTGTTGAATTTCGGCAACTTGACCGTGTCTCGCTCCCTCGTGACGAGTGCGGCGATCGTGCGAGCGTTTTACGTAAAAGCGTGCGAAGAGCTCACTTGTTTCTATTAAGGAAATCAGCACTTTCGTGACACCCGACGCAGGACTCGTTAAAAGAAGGCGCATCCATCGCTCGTATCATTTCGACGTCGCACGGCCGTGGGTTTGATTATCGGTTGCAGTAACGCCCGGCAGTAAAGCATCGTTAGCGTAACGCGCCGCTGGCGCGATTTAAACGCGTCCCCCGAGATCTCCCTTTTCCCCGTCGACACGGAGACGCGGGGGCGGGACGAAACGTTTCCAAATATATCGGGAGATGACTTTCGGGAAAATATACCTCTCAGGATCGGTGTGTTAATCAATCGAACGGAGGTGTTGCGCGCGACCCGCCGAGAGGTTCGATCGCGTTTACTTCACGGAGGGAAACGTCGAGACGACGTGGAGACGCGCGTGAAAACGGAGCGGAAACACGAAGGTCGGCGTCGTTTCAGCGACGTCCGTCCGTTCTTCTTCAAACCGCATTCTATGTACTTTCCCGTTAGTGAAACGAGATGTACGCACGTGCGTACCCACGGTGCGTCCAAGGCGGAAAAGAGAGAAAGAAAAATAGATTGGGTTCGAGAAGCATGAAGAAGCCATCGCGGCGACATTCCGTGCGCGGAACGTAAGCACGCGCAATATGCACGCATATATTCCCGCTGGCTGGCAAATTCGCGAAATCATAGCCCCGTTTCGGCGACACAACGAGGCATGAAGATCCACGCAGATGTATCGAAAGTAAAGCGATACGCGCGCGCGGGAGCAAACGAGGCCGTTTATTGACTCAACCACTCGTCGTTATTTAACCGATTAAGCACTCGTCGGGACAGAAGAAGAAAAAAAGACGCGTACTAATCACGAATACCGATAAGGGGAATGCCGAGATAATCGCTGATAAATTTCTCCTCCCTCTCTCCCTCTCTCTCTCTCTCCTGAAACGTATCAGCGATTGTTGCGTAACGTTATTTGCAACTCGAATCAGTGCGACGTCGCGTGGGAGAACCACGCTCGGACCTACGAAAAGTAGCTTCGTTGAAAAACGCGTCGCACGTCAGGAAATACCGCGCGTTGCGTCGTATTTCTCATGTATTGTCACGACGAGAGAAGTGACTGCGGCGGTGTCGTCAACGCGATAAGAGGCAGCCGAAATATTTCATTCGACGTCTTCCCTTCCCCGAACGTCCTGGTGTTTCCTTTCTTAATCGAATTCGCAACCTGGCCGGATTCGATCGATTCGGGGAACGAAGCGTCTCACTGCGAAAACGAGATCTCGAAGACGAGGAAACCGCGAGGATCCGAACGGAACGCGATACACTGCTCGTTACGTCAGCTCGATGCGCCGGTACCGCTTATTAAGGATAACAATAGCGGGATAACTCGGCTAAAGGGAAGAGATCGGATAATATCCGGTGCGGATCCACTCCCTTCCAGCATGAATTCCGATGGTGGCCAATAATATTTCGCGCGATAACACGTATCTCCGCAAGGGCGCCCTCGTGACCAGGTGCGCGTGTAAACGGTATATCTCGCGAAGTCAACGTCACCGGACGCATTGACAGTTTCCTCGTCGTCTATATAATGACGGCACCCACTGAAAAAGGTGGTAGTCGCTCGCAGGACTCGTTCGCGAATGCATCCTTTTCGGTGGCTCCCGCGATAATGACGGTGATCCGGTAGATCCGTCACGCCGCCTTTTCCGTCCGGCGAGTGCGACGCACTTGCAGAGATATAGGGGGAAAATAGAAGAAAATTGAGTAAAGTTGGTGCGCGTATTTTCTGAAACCGCGGGGATCCGAGAGAGGTGCGGATATTCCCGCTCTGGATCGTGATAAATTTCACACAGAGGTAGGTGTGTTCGATTTCTTCGCTCCCGGCCTTTTCCGTCACGACGTATCCTTCCGTTGCTGCTTTCTTTTTATTTTTTTTCCTTTATACTTTTTTATATTCAGGGTACATAAATAAATCCTTCTATTTCACCTCACAAATCCGCCCGTCTGTGGAAACATTACATCACGACGTAACCCGATGCGTTATCTCAATTCACGCGGTGCACTTTTCACGAGGTTTTACTTTTACGGATTCGTGCAAGTGCGGCGAAAATAGAACGGCTCTGCCATGTGTTCTTTTTTCTTTCTTTTTTCGCTCGACTATTTCGCATAATTCGCACAGCAAGGTTCAAAATTCTTTAAATCAATTCCTCGAGCATTCGCAGAGACGTTTTCGATGATAGACATCATTCATGGGCCATTAAGAGCCCCAAAGACGAATGTCGTAGTGCCATTTTGAATATTAATACGGCCGGACTCCAGGAATTATTATAAATTATTTCTCTCTTGGTAAAACGAAAACAAGGCCATTATTATTTAATTATTTTTTTTAGTTACACGTCAATAAAAAAAAAACACGTAACACGGCGTGCAAATTTGTAATTCATTTGAAATAATAGATAGACGTACTTAAGATAAACGTATTTCTCAAATAAATTCGTCTCGTTTTAATTGCATGCACGTTTGATGTTTCGACTCTCTGCATTCTATTGCCGCGTGTTACCGCGAAATCTCGTTTTCGAGACCCATTGTGAGCGCGACTTTTCCCTCTCCGCGCTTTTTTTCTCATCACACGCACACAAAGTGCTTCTCTCCGCGCTGCTCTGTATCACATTAAGAGGCGTCAAAGGATTTCGGAACGCGGGGGGAATCACCACGACATGACCTTCGCACTTCTCTCTCTCTCTCTCTCTCTCTCTCTTTTTCTCATCGACGGCTGCTCCGCATTTCTGTCCGCAGCGTTCTGCGAAGCACGCGTCGAAAATCGCTCGTTTCTCTCGAAACCCGCGTTTCTTTTCTCTATTTTTCCCCGGCCTCCCTCCTTCCCATTTCCTACCAGAACGTGCCGAGGGTCGAAGTTTACGAAACACGCATGCAGCCGCTCGCGCGTTCTTGCGCGTTCCCGAGCGGCGCGTACTCACCCTTCGGTGAGACATCGCTGGATATATTCAAGCCGAAAAATCTCGACAAAACTGACTCGGGACGTTCCAGGATGGTAGTGAAAATTTGCAAGACCGTCGACAAATGTTAATCCTACGTTAAATCTGGAATTTTCCAATACAGTAGAAGCTGAGATAACAAAAGAAATTCGACTATCAGAATATAATTGAAGCTTGTTTTGGCCGTGATGATGGCTTAGATTTCTGTTTTCACCGTTTCAGAGTGAAAATGAGGTAAGTAGTTTCGCGGTAAAATCAAATCTGCCGAAGTAAAGGCTCAAGAGAGAATTGAACAAGTGCGGTATCGTCAAAGTAGCGTTTTACTCATTTCTCGCCCGAAGTAAGTGCAATTATCCTTGAGAGCGCTGAAGTAGCAGTCAAATTTCAACCTGAGAACGCTTCCCGAGCTGAAATCGCGGTTCTTCGTTGGACCTTTAATTCTCCAGAAGAGGAGCGAAGTTTAATTAATTCATCAAATCTCCAGAGAACGAAATCCGTAGAATCCAAGCCTCAAAGAGGAATTTAACGTTAAGTACGCCATCGTCAAAGTAGGTTTACACTAATTCGCAAGCGATCTTTCGAGCCACTGTCTTTAAGAGCGTCGGGAAATCTTTGAAAACGCGCGAAAATACCTCAGTAAGTTGGAGACGTCCGCGGCGAATTAGGCGAATTAGGTTGGGAGTTCGCTCGCGTCCGTCGGCGCGGAGCATCGGCCGGCGTGGAAAATCCGCCGGGGAAGGACACGCGCCTCGTGCACGCGTCGGGAAATATTTCGCACGTGGCCGGGAATATAATGGGCAGAAATGCTGGCTCGTTCCGCGCAGGTACGATATCTCGCGCACGTGTGTACCGTCCGCGGGCGTGTGGGCGCGTGTGAGCGACTTGTGGAAAGGGAAATTCGACGCATGCTTCCTTCCTTTAATGCCTCGGCACTCGGGGGGGTCTTGAACCACGGGGTTCAAGTTTTCGCGACGCCTCAGTGCCTCGTGTTAGATCCCCGGCGTTCGTATCGCAGCGACACGCGGAGGAGGACCGCGCGAGACGCCGCGCGAGTTACCATCGTCGTCGTCGAATTTCCACGATTCTCATCATGATCTTCCAAGCGGACCTCGCGCCGTGAGTCTCTCGATTACTGATACTTCTCCCCCCCCCCCCC